CCAACCAGGGACAATTGCGCAGTCAGAGGAAATTAATGGTGTTCTTGCAGGTGCGTGAGCACGCCTCGCTTCTGTTCATCGCCACTTCCTCTTCAATTGATCGATCACAGCTTGTCCCGAAAGCGAGAAACAGAGCTTCCCGCTAGGTGAATGGATAACGAAAAAAGGGAATGGTTTGAAATGTTTTCAGTTGGTTTCTGATGGTTAGAGCTGGTTTCAAAGGTTTGATTTGGGCTCCTCCTCCCCCATCACCCCATCCTCCCCCATCACCCCCCTCCTGCGCTCCTCACATCCACCTTGTGCGCTGCAGTCTTCCCCCTGCAATGCTAGTCAGCTGGACGCCTCGCTTCGCTTCCCCCGCACGCACCCCCCCTCGATCAAACCTCTTTTCCCCGCCAGACCGCCCCATTGCCCCAAGGTTCTCCTCCTGCACTGCACTTTTTCATCGGCAGCCGCCAATGACAAGCCGTCCTGCCTGAAGGCATCTGCCCGTGTGGGCCCACAGGCAATCCTGGTCGACAGCGCAGCAGCGCTGCCAACGCACGCTGCACTGTGTATACCGCACACCCCGGCGGACGGTGCAGATTCACGTGTCCATTGATTCCATCATGGACGCTCCAAATCTAGGGCTGGCCTCTGTTGTCGTGGGGAATCCGATCCTGTTTCGATATTACGTGTGCCACCAGCCACATTCGTCTCAGATAGATGCGCAAAAAGGTAGTGTATCTTCAAGATCAAGCTTGTACAATCATGGAGGTAGTGGGTCAGTAGAATCAAAATGGTATGGATTTCTAGTTAATTTTCGTGGTAATGGAGCAGCGAATCACCTTCAATACCGTATGAGGTGCAAACAAACGATAAAAGGTCCCTCCTACCTAGTCGTAATGTGCATAGGATAATGAACTACCAGAGACCAAATGGGATTTAAAACCGAAATATAAAATAGTGAACCCCGACCCAGCTTGAAAGATTTCTGCGACGAGTTTCTCGAAACTGCTAGAGATCGGGCCGATTCAGCACTGATGTGCAGTTCAATATATACAATAGAATGAAGGAGAAACAAACTGTTGTTACAAATGAACCATCAGGACGCGTCCCTACATTCGTTTTTGCACAATCTATCCTGCACAGGATCAAAATTCAACGTGGTTTAAAAGGTTATCAAACGTTTGAAATTTATTAAGCCGGCTTGCAGTATGGTGAATACCTGTTTGCACGATGGATCGTGCGAAATCGAAGAAGGGACGCATCCTCATCCTTGTCAGAACTGCTTTCTAGGTGAGCGCATGGTCAGTGAGGATGAGCCTTCTGTGCCACTGTCACTCCTGTCACTGTTTGCTCGCATGAACGAAGTGATCACCTGTCACTACCCCATGCTCGGTCGCCAGCGACTCCCTTTGCGCTTGGAGTAATTATTTTAGTTAGGGTGTCGAGTCGACTTGTGACAATGGATTTTGGCGGGAGGCCATGACGACGCCAGCGAGCACTTTGCGGGGGTACAGTCAAAGGCGGTGAGGCTGCGACGACGTGCGACACTCCAAGCCATTCGCGAAGTTTCGGGAATTGAGAGATCCCCAGGAGCCGAGCGATATGGTGGGAATGGTACGTCTGGGCTGCGAGGAGCACGTTAGATGCGCTTCGCGTGCGTAGAGCCGAGCAAGGTTAGGGAACCAGTGCGGAAGATTCAGGATGTGATTGAATCTATTCCAAGGCTACTATTCTAACGAGCGATTCGCATCCCCGTCCCTTCTCCAGGACTTGCAATGGCACAACCAGCGATTATTCCAAGCTGACGTGGCAGCCGATGGCGAGGGAATTGCGAAGCAAGAGGCGAAGGCGAGACCCGAGGGGACGACGGCGGAGAAGGCGGGGAGGAGAAGCTCGTCCCGACGCAGCAGGAAGGGACTCCGCGCTGGCGACCAGCTCGTGGCCGCGCGTAACGCTGATGACGACCGTGACGTGTCTGAGGGCGGTGATGGTGACGATAATGGGGGTGATGGAGCAGCAGCAGGAGCAGTAGCAGCAGTGGAAGCAGCAGCAGCGGCGATGGCGGCAGGGGGTGATAGTGAAACGGCAGCAGGGGAGAGCGAGAATGAGGCCCGTCGCCCCGTGCCGTCCATCCACCCTCCTCGTCGCTCCGCCTCCCGCGCCTCAAGAGCAGGCGGCAGCAGGGCAGGCGGCAGCAGGGCAGGCACGAGGCCGGGCCCACCTGTGGCGCTGAACGTGCGCGACGACCGCGGGTGGACGATGCTGCACATCGCCAGCCACATGGGCAACGTGCGCATGGTGCGTGGTAACATGGTAACCGGGTATTGAGGTAGCATGGTAGCGCCGTGGTTACAGGGTAACACGGCAGGGCGACGTGGGGCGTGGATGAGCCATCACTGAGGCCGAAGCACTGGGCAACCTGGGCGTCCTGGGCGACAGCAAGCTGTCAGTGTTCTGCTCTCTGCCACCAGCGCCCCAAATCCCCATTTTTTCCTTTCTTTCCCGAGTCCTGCTGTGACCCACGCACCCGCTTATTCCAGGTGCGGCAGTTACTGGAGGAGGGCAACGTGGCAGTGGACGAGCCATCGCTGGGCCCGAAGCACGCGAGAGCAAGCTATCAGTGTTCTCTAGCACCCGTGCCTCAAAATCCCATTTTCTCTTTCTTTCCCTTTCATCCACCCAGGTGCGGCAGCTACTGGAGGAGGGCAACGTGGCGGTGGACGAGCCATGAGTGTCGCTCATTGTCCCTTCCCCCTTCTCTTCCGTGTCTTTCCCACCCTCCCACCCACCCAGGTGCGGCAGCTACTGGAGGAGGGCGATGTGGCGGTGGACGAGCCATCTCTGGGCCCGAAGCATGCTATCCTGGGCGTCCTGGGCTTGAGCAACCTATCAGTGTTCTCTGGCACCCGAGCCTCAAACCGCTATTTTTCCTATCTTTTTCCTGTCCGTCCCCAACATACGCACCCCACCCACCCAGGTGCGGCAGCTACTGGAGGAGGGGGATGTGGCGGTGGATGAGCCATCGCTGGGCCCGAAGTACGCAGGGGCGACGGCGCTGCACCTGGCAGCAGCAGCGGGGCACATAGCCGTCATGGACGCACTGCTGGAGGGCGGCGCCAACATCGAAGCGCGCACCCGCGGTGCCTTTGGCTGTCAGTCCCCATACTCTTGCTGGTGTCTGTTAGGCGTGTCTTTGCTTTTTAGGCGCCTCGAAACGCGGCAGCAGCGGGGCACATAGCGGGCATCGACGCGCTGCTGGAGGGCGGCGCCAACATTGAAGCCCGCACGCGCGGTGCCTTCGGCTGTGAGTGCTGGTGTCTGTGTTTTCTAGGCGCCTCCAGAAGCGCCTCAGAAGGCAGCAGCAGCGGGGCACGTGGCAGTCATGGACGCGCTGCTGGAGGGTGGAGCCAACATCGAAGCCCGCACCCGCGGTGCCTTTGGCTGTCAGTCCCCTTCCCTGGTGCTCATGCTGCTGCTGCCACTGCCGCTGCCGCTGCCACCCGCATGTCCCGTCGCTGCTCTGCTGAAAACTTCTTAGACCTACTCTGTCACTCATACTCCCTGGTCCCCTCCGTTTCTCCCTCGCCTCGCATCCTCCCCTCCCCTCCCCTCCCCTCCCCTTTCTAACTCACCCCTCCCCACCTCCCATGCCCCGCGTTCAGCAGAGGACATGCAGGATCCGCTCTTCAACTTGCCGCTGCTGCAGTGCAGGGCAGGTCGACACTGACGCACGGCATGCTCTCCCACTCATACCCCCCATTCCCCTCCACTCCTTGCCTCGCATCCGTCCCTCCCCTCAACCCCCTCTTCTCGCGACCCCCTTCCCCCCCACCTCCACCTCTCTCCCCAGGGACCCCGCTGCACCACGCGGCACGGCACAACCGGCGGCGGGCAATCCGCTTCCTTCTCGAGAGTGGGGCGTTCCTAGCAGAGGACATGCAGGACCCGCGCTTCAACCCGCCGCTGCACTACTGCCGCAGCCTGCAATATGCCTACCAGCTGCAGCAGAGCATGGTTAGGGGGGCCAGTGGGGGGGGGAGTAGTAGTGAGGACGGTAGCGAAGCCGAGAGTGGGAGCGGCTTGGACGGAGGGGTGGAAGGAGGTGTGGTGGATTAAGGTGGGTAGGAAGGTGGGCGGGTGAAGAGCCAATTGTAGTCCGCCAGTCAACCATAGCTTCCCCAACATAGCCCGTCCAATGTACCTAATTCGCATGGCTCAGTGCAATGTGCAAATGGCTGTGTAGTGTTCAGAATATGGTAGGAGTGGCTTGTGGTAGTGTCAGTCAGTAGCTGCACGTCATGACTCGTGACGTGTGTGGAAGAGATGCAACTTCTGTCAATTTTTTATTTGTGTCACGCTTGTACGGTACCGGTATTACCGGTAGGGCAGCTGATGCGGTTTTGGTACAGTGGTGTGGTGTGGTGTGGTATGGTGTGGTGTGGTGTGGTGTGGTGTGGTGTGGTGTGCACTAGAGATTGGTTTGCTAGCTTCATCTGCAAGTCGTACGGACTTCAACCCGCCCAATTGGTTTTCTACATTCACACAGTGCACTCTCCCATAGCCTTAGAGGGGGGCAGTAGCAGCACCAAGGATGGCACAGTAAATACAATGTATTAGTACACTATCACCATTACTAGCTAGAAACAGGTACCGTAATGTATAGGTATATATTTTTAACACATGAACCCCCAGTAACTTCATGTGTAGGTCTAATCACCAGCCTGTAGTCAAAACCAGCCAACACAGCTAGAGCAAACAGAGTTCGAGAGACCAGGGAAGCTGAACTGACTTAGAGAAAACCCGGAGGCTCTCCACCACCTCAGGCTAGAAGTCGCAGGCCAAGCAGGAACAACAGAGTCTAAGGCAAACAATCCACGACAGCCAAGCATCGTTATTCGCTGCAGCACCGCACTGCACCGTGCTGCACATACCCTGCACTGCACTGCACTGCACTGTGCTGCTCTGCTCTGCACTGCAGCAGGCACCCGTGGGAGGTGAAGGCAGGGCCACCGTCAGTCGTCGAACTCAGCCCCGTGCTCCAGCAGGTAGTTGGCAGCGAGCTCCTCGTTCTTGTCGCACGCGAAGAATGCCTCCACCACCAGATCGCGGTCAAACCCCATTGCTTCCAGCTGCAAGGGACACGGGGAAAGGGTATGGGCACGGGGCACAGGGTATGGGGCAGTGAGCATGATGGGTTTGTGCAGAGAGGGGTGAGTGAGCGCGAGAGTGCTTGGAGCAAAGCAGGCCTCCACCACCAGATCACGGTCAAACCTCATTGCCTCCAGCTGCATGGATGGGGAGCACAGAGGACAGGGTACAGGGCATGGGCCACAGGGCATGAGGGGTGTGAGCAGAGGGAAAATAGGAGGGAGCAGGCAGGTAGGTGAGAGGCATGCCTCTCGTTCTGCACTCCAGCAGGCAGGTGAGAGGCATGTGAGCTTCTGAGAGACATGTGAGACAAGAGAGGGTATTCGAAAGCCTGGCAACTGTCTGTAATCACTTCCAGGCCAAAGCTGCTTCACCCGTGCTACAGCCCCTCTCACCCGTGCTACAGCCCCTCTCACCCGTGCTACAGCCCCTCTCACCCATGCTACAGCCGCTCTCACCTGTGCTACAGCCGCTCTCACCCGTGCTACAGCCGCTCTCACCCGTGCTACAGCCCCTCTCACCCGTGCTACAGCCCCTCTCACCCGTGCTACAGCCCCTCTCACCCGTGCTACAGCCCCTCTCACCCATGCTACAGCCCCTCTCACCCGTGCTACAGCCCCTCTCACCCGTGCTACAGCCCCTCTCACCCGTGCTACAGCCCCTCTCACCCGTGCTACAGCCCCTCTCACCCGTGCTACAGCCCCTCTCACCCGTGCTACAGCCGCTCTCACCCGTGCTACAGCCCCTCTCACCCATGCTACAGCCCCTCTCACCCGTGCTACAGCCCCTCTCACCCGTGCTACAGCCGCTCTCACCCGTGCTACAGCCGCTCTCACCCGTGCTACAGCCGCTCTCACCCGTGCTACAGCCCCTCTCACCCGTGCTACAGCCGCTCTCACCCGTGCTACAGCCACTCTCACCCGTGCTACAGCCCCTCACTCGTGCTACAGCCCCTCTCACCCCCTCTCACCCCCTCTCACCCCCTCTCACCCCCTCTCACCCCCTCTCACCCCCTCTCACCCCCTCTCACCCCCTCTCACCCCCTCTCACCCCCTCTCACCCCCTCTCACCCCCTCTCACCCGTGCAATGGCCTCTTGCTCCTCCGGGGTGACTTGGATTGCTCTCACGCCTGGCGGCAAGCCCTCCCCCCCTGCTGCCGCCGCTGCTGCCGCCTCCAGCTGACTCATCAGCTCACTGCAGGGAAAGGAAGGGGGAGGGATGGATGGAGAAATTGCGGGACAGAAGGGGAGATGGACGGAGGGCGTTACTGTAACGCGATGCAGGAGGTGAGGCAGGCGGGCGTAGAGGAGAAGCACAAGGAGATGAAAAATAGTTTTTTGTGAAGGAGAAAAAACGGAGCCCTTGTGAGGAAAAGGAAAGGAAAGAATTTGTGAGGTAGAGACACAGCACAAGGAGGGGAGGGAAAGGTGTGTGGGCGAAAGAGACTTACCCTTCTGGAGGTGGCTCGTTGATGAGTTGAAGGAACTCCGTCTGGTGCGCCTGAATGAGCTGCAGCAGCTCGGGGTAATGCTTTTGAGGCGCCTCAAAACACGACACTGGCACTCGCACAAGGAAGCGAGCGGGTTACACACAGACGTGACTTACCCTTCCGGGAGCGGCTCGTTGATGAGTTGAAGGAACTCCGTCTGGTGCGCCTGAATGAGCTGCAGCAACTCGGGGTTCTGCTTGCCCAGCTCCTGTAGCATGGGCTGCGCTTGGGACGGGAGATTTGGGAGAGAGGGATGGTGGGAGGGGGGAGAATGGGGCGGGCGTGGGGTCGAGGTGAGGGCGATGGGGGATGGTAGGATGATTGAGTTGCAGCAGCTCGGGGTTCTGCTTGCCCAGCTCCTGCAGCATGGGCTGGTGATGGTGATAGGGGAGAGGGGGTGGGCGGGGAGGGGGGGGGGGGGCGGGGGGCAGAGGGGTTGAGCAGTAGAAAGGAGTGGGTGTGGAGATTGAGGCAAGGGCGATTGGGGATGGTGGCATGGGTGCGAGATGGCAGCATGGTTGGTGGATGGACACGGAGCGAAGTCATGAGAAAAGGGAAGGTGGTGTGGCGGGTATGGAGCAGAGTGTGGAGGGGAGGGTATGGAGCAGAGTGTGGAAGGGGAGGGTATGGAGCAGAGTGTGGAAGGGGAGGGTATGGAGCAGAGTGTGGAAGGGGAGGGTATGGAGCAGAGTGTGGAAGGGGAGGGCGTACCTGCAGCAGCTGTGGGCGCGCTTGGACCATGGCTCTTAGCTCTTGGAACTGCCACGCAGCACAGGCAGCACGAGCAGTGGCGACAGCATGAGCATGAGCATGAGCACGAGTGTCCGCATGAGCAAGAGCAGCATCAGAAGCAACAGCAGTAAGAGGCGCTCCACAATGATAGGCCAATCACTGCCTGTACTCTACACACCAGACCTGGCCTACTGTAACAATGCAAGCCCCGTGATATTAATCCAGACGACGCTTCAAGGCAGTAGTAACCACTCAACCTGCACTGGTAACCACTCAACCTGCACTGGTAACCGCTCACCCTGGCACTAACCACTCACCCTGCACTGGTAACCACTCACCCGGGGATTGTTTCGCAGGAAGTCCAGCTGAGTGGCCGCTCCCTCCGCGCCTGCTGCTGCTCCCCCTTGCCCCGGCTGCCGTGAATCCACCAAACAGAAGGACATATCCACGAAACAGGGAAACACGCAACTCAGCTCAGGTCGCATGATCAAGCCAGGGCCAGCACCTGTGGACCAGAGCTTTCTTTCGTACCTGGGTTGTAAACGCAACTGGGGGTAGAGCACACCTGCAGGAAGAGCACACCCGGGGGAGAAGGCGCACTTGGGGGAAGGGCGCACTTGGGGGTAGAGCGCACCTGCGGGAAGAGCGCATCCGGAGGAAGGGCGCACCTGGGGGAGAAGGCGCACTTAAGGGAGAAGGCACACCTAGGGGAAGGGCGCACCTGGGGGAAGAGCGCACCTGGGGGAGAAGGCGCACTTGGGGGAAGGGCGCACCTGGGGGAGAAGGCGCACCTGGGGGAAGAGGTTGAGAGGCGCGGTGTTGGGGCCGCCTTCCATCGCCACGTCCTCCATGCCCTCCGCCTCCCCTCCCCCTCCCGCCGCTGGCGGCGCGCGCGCCACAGGCGGAGCCGCCGTCTCTGGTATGCCCTGCGAGGTGGGGCAGGGAAATGGTGGGGGAGAGGGTGTGGCGACGTGGAGGAGAGGCGGGGAATGCGCGTAGAGCAGCTAAGGAGTGAGACGCGGGATGAGAAAGAGGCGAGACAAGGTGTGAAAAACGGTGGAGTACGGTGGGGCGAGGTGCGGTGCACTGCGGAGAGGTCAGGGGCGCGTACCGAGTAGAGGTACTCCACGGCGCGCTCCGGGTTGTTGAACGCCGCCCGCAGCGCGCGCAGCACCGTCTCGCGCTCCCAGCTTCCGCCGCCCATCTCCAGAATCTGCTGCACCGTCGACTCTAGGTGCGGCCCCGCCAGCAGCGCGGAAGCCGCCTGCCCGTACACCCCCCCGGTCTCCGTCGCCGCGCCACTCCCCGCCTGCTCGCCCGCGGCTGCTGCGGGTGCGGCGGTGGCGGCAGGAGGGGCGGCGGGCGCTGCTGGGGCGGCGGGCTCGGCTGGGGCTGCGGGGGCTGCCTGCGCCGCTGGAGCCGCTGGCGCGGCCGCTGGAGGCGCAGCAGGCGCTGGCGCAGGGGTGGCTGCAGGCTGGGAAAGTTGAAAAAACAAATTTCTTGTTTGCCTTATATGACTTCCTTAATTAAATACTGGGGCGTTTACGTTGATTCGTAATCAGAGGGAAGAACAGAAAAACATGAATTCTTGAAACTCGTACCGCTGCTTGCGCTGATGACGACGCCCCTGCGGCTCCGGGTTTAGGCTGCAAAAAGGAACGCACGCACAGCAGAATCAGGGTTCAGTACGACCAAGACGACATGAATTGCCCCGACGAGCAAGAAACCGCCAGATCTACGTCGAGCACAGGAAGTGACTGAGAGCGAAGGGAAGAGAGAAATGGATCTGAGAGACGGCGGAGGCGAAACGCGTGGGACGTCGCAAGAAAGTTTGACGTGACGTGCCGAGAAAGATCGACGTGACGTGGCGTACCTTTGTCAGCATGACAACGAGGAATCCATTTTCGGAGACGCTGCTCTCGGCGAGCGTGGAGTCGTCTTTGAGCACCTTGCCCTGGTGGATCAGCAGCTGCTGCTCGCGCGGAAACGCCGCGCCCTGAATCTCGAAGATCTTCGCCTTCACGTCCGCCACCTGCGGGAGTGCGGGTAACAGAGTTACACCGATGCACTCGATAAATTCACTAGTGTAAATCACGACCGTGAACCTATCATCCCCGCGCCATGAATCCCCTGAATCTCGAAGATCTTACCCTTCACTTCCGCCACCTGCGCGGGAGTGCGGGTCACAGAGGTTCACCGATGCACTCAATAAACCTACTAGTATAAATCACGACAGTGCATCTATCAACGCCGCGCCCTAAATCTCGAAGATCTTCCCCTTCACTTCCGCTATCTGCGGGGATTCGACAGGTTCAGGGCACAGAGATTCTCTATGGTAAATATCGATAGTGGATCTATCAGCGCGCAGGTATCCATGTGACAGTTTCCGGTCCTAACAGAGAATCTATCGGCGATGCGGATCTCGCCTTGTCTGACGGCTCGACGTTGACGTCGAATTGAAGCCCCTTGAGGGTCTTCACTGTGACCTTCATCGCCCCACTCTCCGCTGCGTCTCTATTTCTCTCTGTGTGTGCGCGCTGCTTCTGGCCGTTGCTGCTACACCAATCGGAGCAACGAATACCAGCAGCTCCGCGAATTTTCACCACGCACTGAATTATATGAACGAAACTGAGGTTAGAAACTATGTGATGAAGCTAACTTCAACTGGCTAGCAGATCCTGAAAGTTGGGATGAAGTGGGCAGATGCTTGGTGGATTTCAGATTCTGTCTTTTTGCAGTAGAGGAGAGTGGTGAGGAGGAGTTAATATTGCGCAAAAAGGTAATGAGGGGAGTGGCGCAGGCAGCGCGAAGAGACGAGGAACCGAAACCCCGCCTGTTGCATTGTCAGCGCCACGCCTGCAAGCGAGAGGCGCGAAACGTTTCATTACTTGGTTGCGTAAACATTCTCGGTATATAAAATCAGAGAAATGAGAACACTCCAAATGTTATTGTATGAATATTCAAAATTCCCACTTCCGAGGTTCAGAAATGCCTCGATATTGTCAGAAATGGCTCTGCTGTGCTGTGCTGGGATTCCCTTAGTCCTGGAACAAGCAAGGCTAGCACATTTGACTGAGCACCAGTCAGCTTCGTTCATATTATTCCTCCATTGTCGTTTCTGAAGCACGTGACTGATTACAGCTTATCTCACTGTGCATAAGCGGCATCTCCGCGCCTCTTAGTATCTCTCTCACGCTATTGGCCTGAGGATTTGAGCGAGATCGAGTAGATGGAGGGGTCGTTCGAGTCGTACAAGGAGAAGGTGCGCTTCCGGATCTCCGTCCTTCGCGTCCGAATCGAGCCGTCGTCTGCTGACCATTAAATAGCATACGAATGAATCAAGGCGTTTGGTTACCAAGCTCGAGTTACAAAAAACCTGCTTTTGTTTCTAGACGCCCAGTGATCCCATTTTCAGATCCATGTCCTTGTTATTTCGCCCTTGCCGTGCTGCTCGGGCCATTACACGTGGCCCTCAGATCTGCAGCCTACATAGCTGTATCTGCCGCGCACCACATTGTTATTGCCACAGCGTCCCATCCCATGCCACTCTGATATGCCTGTTCTTGCTCCTGCGAAACGCCTCACGTCGTCGCGTGCGATGACATTTCCCGTCTCGTGCGACGCCTGGTTCCTGTCGCACGCCGTCGCAGGTGCTGCTGGGCGACGTGGCGTGGGACACGTACGTGACGGCGAAGCTGATCACGGGTACGGACTTCCAGCTGCTGCGCCGCTACGACCACCGCTCCAAGGAGGTCCAGGCCGCGCTGCTCGAAGAGGCAAGCACCGTTCCGACTTCTTCTCTGCTCCTTGTTCCTCTTCCCCCCTCCTTTTTCCAACCAACTATGCGTTTTGCGCGTTTGCCTCGTTCCCTTGCTTCTGCCCACACGGAAATCTCCAGTTTCTCCTCGCCTGGTTACTTACGGAGCGGTTGCATACAAGCGTCTCGTTTCTCGTTACTGCAGTTGCGACTTGTCTCAGCGCCGCAGCTGCTCCTTCCTCGCTCCGTAGTACGCACCGTCAATGCCCCCCTCTCGCCTCCAATGCCACTCTACTTCTTCCTGCCGGTGCTCTCACCCTTGGCACGACTTCTCTCCTTCCTCGTCTGGCTTCACCCCGTTGGCCTGGCAGAACGGCGTCGGATACGTGCGCACGTTTATATCCGTACTGAAGAATGTCTTTAAAGAGGAGACCGTGGAGTACACCATTGCCCTCATCGACGAGCTTTTAACAAGTAACGAGTCTTGCTTTTGGCGCTGACGAACGCACACTGCAGAAAACGAGATTGTGCGTAGAACCGCAACTTGTAACTGCTGACATCATGTATTGTCTAGTGAGCGAGTGTCGAGTGCAGCAGCGTGGGAAACACTCTGATTTTCATCTCCCACACGCCATGCGCTCATTCTACCCCTTGCGTGTGCCGCAGGGGACAAGAAGAGGGCGCACCTGTTCCACGACCCATCCATAACGGACGATGTCTATGCGCCCTTCATCAGGTGAGTGAGCGCCCTTCATCAGGTGCGCTCCCTTCCTCACCCATCTCTTCCTCACCCATCTCTTGCACACCTTTCTCACCAGTCCTACACTTCATCAACAACCCTATCCAACTCTGCACTGCCTGTCTTTCCACCATCCGACCATGCCTTTCCCGTTTTCACCATCCCACCATGCTCTCCCCACCCTCCGCCATTGCACCAGACTGCTGGGGCACACCAACTGGTTCGTGCTGGAGGCCACATCGCGGATTCTGCCCCTCATCATTGTGTGAGTGTTGACCTTCTGCTTGTCGTGCATGCCATGCCGTCGTGTGAGTGCCGTTTGCTGTTTGCTGCTTTCCATGCATTTCTCTCTCATCATTGTGTGAGTGCTCATCTTTTGCTTCGCGTGCATGCGGTCGTGTGAATGCGGTTGGCTGTTTGCTGCTTCCCATGCATGCCATCTTGTGAGCGCTCTGCTTCCTGCTACCATGCATTTCTCTCTCAGCATAGTGTGAGTGCTGTTTACTGTTTGCTGCTTCCCGTGCATGCCTCTCTGCATCACAAGGTCCTTGGCTCGCCACTGTTCATCCAGTGATAGGGAAACACATGTCTAAAGCACCTGCCAGTCCATTGATAATCACGTCCTTTCGTCGTCCCCCCTCCCACGGTCCCGCCTCGTCCTGCCTCCCCTCTCGACACCACCATTCCCGCCTCGTGCATGCCCACCAGCTCCCGGCCCCACAGCTCGTCCGCGCCCGCAGCACCAGCAGCAGCAGGGGAAGGGACGCCCGCGCCCCCCCCGGCAGGCGACATAGACTACGTGCTCGAGCCCTTCATCGCCTTTCTCTGCCACCAGGTGAGTGCTCTGCCACCAGGTGAGTGCTCCGGGCAGTGCCAGCAGCCATAACAGCGCTCCTAACCACTCTGAGGGACGTATCAGCTCGCTCCATCTTCGCCAAGGCGGATGCTGCCTGCACAGTACCTCCTCTATCCCAACACATGTCCCCCTCCCTCCCTCCCTCCCCCACTCCCACCCCCAGCTGACTCGCCCGGTGCACCCAGTGCGGGCAGTGCCAGCAGCCATCAAAGCGCTCGCCACAGCGCCAAGGGACGTGTCATCTTTTCAGGCGCCTCAGAAATCAACCCCCACACCTCCCCCCTCCCCTCCCTCCCCCACTCTCACCCCCAGCTGACTCGCCCGGTGCACCCGGTGCAGGCAGTGCCAGCAGCCATAACAGCGCTCCCAACCACTCTGAGGGACGTGTCAGCTGTCCATGCGCCTCCGAAATCAACCTCTCCACCTCTCCGCCTCTCCTCTTTTCCCCTCTCCCCATCCCTTCCCCAGCTGACTCGCCCGGTGCACCCGGTGCGGGCGGTGCCGGCAGCCATAACAGCACTCGCCACAACACTGAGGGACGTGTCGGCTCGCTCCATCTTTGCCAAGGCGGATGGCGTGCGCCTGCTGCTGCCCTACATTGCACCCGTGGCTGGACAGAACCAGATGCAGGTGCGATGGCTGATGGTTTGATGCGTTATGGTGTGGTTTGTTATGGTGTGTGCTTTTGGATGGGGTTGTGCTGTGTGTTGCCTGCTGCTGCCCTACATTGCACCCGTGGCTGGCCAGAACCAGATGCAGATGCGATGCGCTATAGTGTGCTTCGTTATAGTGAGTGCTTCGGTATGTAGTCGTCTTTGTCGATGTGCTGTCTTCTGCTGCCATACATTGCGTGCATGGCCGGTCAGAACCACATGCTGCATGTCTGCATTGCTTGCTGCTGGATGACAGCACAGACAGCATGTTTGCAAGTGCAGCGCCCATGCATTCTCACTCACCATGCATGCCCCTGTCGCTTTCTGTCTCATACTTACCCCCACCCTCTTTCCTCCTGTCCTCGTCCCCTCTCTCCCCCATCCAGCTGGTGTACGAGGCAGTGCTGTGCCTTTGGCTGTTTGTCCACGTGTATGTTGAGTCGACTCGAATACACTACTCAACCTTTCACCTCCCCCACCCTCGCCCTCCCCCCATTCAGCTGCTGTACGAGGCGGTGCTGTGCCTCTGGCTGCTCTCCTTCCACGAGCCTTCCCTGGAGGCCATTCGCCAGGCGCGCATTCTGCCGCGCCTCATTGACGTCGCCAAGAGCTCCGCCAAGGAAAAGGTAGACAGCTGGGCGCACAGGGAAGGCTGCTAACTCTAATGTTAGGGAGGGCCTGGTGGGTTTTGAGACGTCTCAAATTTCATTCTGCTGCACCTCATTGACATTGCCAAGAGCTCTGCCGAGGAGAAGGTGAGGCAGGGAGTGCTGGGGGTGTGTGTGAGGGAGGGCTGAGAAAAGGTAGCTAGGGTGGCGGTGCTGGCGTTGAGCAACCTCATGACCCGCGGCCACCTGGGGGCATCCATGGTGGAGGTGGGGCTGCCCAAGACAGAGCATCACAGCCCTGCACTCCCCTTCACACCTCTGCAACTCTCCCAACCCCGCATTCCCCCAATCCACCCGGGAAACAGATAGTGCGGGTGGCGGTGCTGACTCTGAGCAACCTCATGACCCGGGGGCACCTGGGAGCGTCAATGGTGGAGCTGGGGCTGCCAGACAATCGCACAGCAGCTCACACCTCTACACCTCCCTTCACACCTCTGCACCTCTCCCAACCTCACATTTTCCCAATCCACACATCCCACAGATAGTGCGAGTGGCGGTGCTCACTCTGAGCAACCTCATGACCTGCGGGCACCTGGGGGCATCAATGGTGGAGCTGGGGCTGCCTGACGGACGCACAGCAGCTCACACCTCTGCATCTCCCTTCACATCTCTGCGCCGCTTTTAACCCCCGGAACCCCACCCTCCCCCCTCCACACGTCACAGATAGTGCGGGTGGCAGTGCTCACCCTCAGCCGTCTCATGACCCGCGGGCACCTGGGAGCATCAATGGTGGAGCTGGGGCTGCCCAAGGTCGTGCAGAGCCTCACACCTCTCCACCTCTCCCAACCCCCCCAACCTCCCACCCACACGTGCCACAGA